GCAGGGTCATTTTTGTCAAGTTAAAGTCAAGATAAATATCTTCCAAGTTTTTCCCTTAATGTTTTGTTAGAGATGCTGAATCCAGGAGGATAGAGATGCCGTCCCTCAGAGATGAGTTAATTAGATTAAATTCTAAAATGTTACAGAATCTAGGGCTGAAACAATTAATCTTAAATAATTAATTATTAAAATAATCATCAATTAATTCATTAATCGTAAACTGTAGTATAAAGGCTCTAGAATATGCATTCAGATAACAGGGCGACCCCCTTAGAGCAGTAATTAAACCAAAATTGTGATAAAATATTTTGCATTTCAGATTTTAAAAAATGTATCCTTTCTATATGCTCGACAAGTTGAAAAGTTTTAGTTTCACCTGGTTTAATTCTGTATAAAATCTTCTTTAAGGATCCTTTCGCTATTTGATCATTAATCGATTAATCGAAAAAATTATTTGACACAATAAATGATTATCAAAATAATCTTTAGTTGCAGCCCTTACTGAATCTCTCTTTAAGTTAAACTGTCTTTTAAGGTTTGTCTTCTAAGCTTGAAAAAAAGGAAAAACTTTGTAGCATTTCCATAATACGTTCTTTGAGTGTAAAAGAAGCATTTAAACAAATTTTACAAAACACTTGCATGGATGCTCTCTAGGTTTAATGTTCTCCATATTCTCATTTATGTCACAGCATCCTGTTGGATGTTTATATATATATATATATATATATTTTTTTTTTTTCTTTTTTTTTTTTTTCTCCATGTTGCATCTTTTTTTTACATTTTCTGTAATTTTAAATTCTGATTTTAAAGGTTTGCATTAGGGGACATCTAGCAGGATTTGGCGTTTAAGTACCTTTGTTTGGTAATGCATATAAACAATTAGCATTAAAGGTATAGTGGAGGATATTTGAAAAGACACTCCCTCTCCACTTGAATAAAGAAAATGCAAATGCACAACCTTGTTTTCGTACAAGCTTACTTTCCAAAAGAAGATTTGCTATTTTGGCTCTAGAATATGGTAAGTAAAAATGGGGACGAGCACGAAGGACAGCCTTACCTATAAATATCACAGGAATGATCAAAATTAGGAGGACCACTTATTTTGATGATCCACCCGGAAAAAGAAAATCATCCACTATACCTTTAAGTACCATTGTTTGGTAATGCATATAAAATATTAGCATTAATTTATTTATTGGAAAGTTTTGCAGAAATAATATCTTAGTAATGAAAACTGGAGATCTAGTAATGAGAAAAAAATCTATGTTTTAAGGTTGCTAAACCCAGCTGACCTGTTTCTGGGACTGGAGACAGATCTTTCAGGTCCAGGTGAAAGCAGACTGAAGTTAGTAAAAGCTTACAATCTGTTTTAAGAGCAAGGACCACCTTTTAAAGTGAATCTATCAATTTAAACGAATAGCATGTCCTCAGAAGTCATAGAAAACATATGCGTTTGTTTCACGTGTGTTTTCAGGAAAAAGGCCAACATTTTTTTTTTTATTCCCACTTTTTGGAATGAAAATTCAAAATAAAATGAAACCACAAGGCTGTCTTTATAAAAACCTCAACATCTGTCTTTTTACTAAATAGAAAGTCAAGATATTGTAATTGTCTCCTCTCTGAAAGCTTTCTGGAGTAAAATTAGAGTTAAAAAGTTCAAGTTTTACCGTTTGTGACCAGAGGTTCTGCTTGTTTTTCCCTCAAAGGAAGTGAGCTGAAAATCACGCTTAGCTGATTGATTCAGTGGAAAGAAATCAATGATCTGACATCATCAAACACAGTTAAACAGAAGCCAGATAATGTTTAAGGGTTCACCAGTTCACCCTGAGACCCAGTAAGTTACTAAAGCTCTGTCTTTTACTGTCAGTGCACAAACTAACTGTGCTAAAGTACTTTTAACAATTAAAGTTTTCATTGTTTTGAATAATGGGGGTGAGAGGGAGCTATACTCTGCACAGGATGCAAACCCTTCCCAACGTAAATAAATAAAGCTGCATAACAACAAAGAACAATAAGTATAAAACAAATATGAATAAGCAGGTTGAAAAATTGAGTGCAGAGGACACAGATGTTCACCTTTCAGAGGGAGACAAACAGCTGGAGATGTGGTGACTTTTATATAGTTGGAAAGACTTACACCTTTTTGATGCAATCAAACTCATGATTTAGTTTTATTAAGAATGGGGAAAAACATCTTTATGTGCAAAACATCCCATAAGTAGCAGACAAGAAAGATGTCTATAAACGGAGAGGCTGAACACAAACCCACCAAACGCTTTTCCAGGTTTTTAACTGGTGTAGATTCTCAGTCATCAGGGTCATAGTCATTTCAAAAAAATTAAATTAAAAACAATCTACTGGACTTTATTTCCGAGTTTGAAGACGTTTTGCTTACCATCCAGGAAGCTTTTTCAATTCAAACTGTCAGGAATTGAATTGACTTCCGTGTTTTATACTGCAGCCCATCAAAAGTCTGTTTGAATTTTCATGTTTTCAAAACCAAACCAGGTATTTATGGGCTACTGTATAAAACCTGGAACTCAACGCTATTCCTCACATTTCGAATTGAAAAAAGCTTCCTAGATGGGAAGTGAAACGTCTTCAAACTTGGAAACAAAGTCCAGCGGATTTTTTTTTAATAAAACATTTTTGGAACAGGTTGTTAACTGTTACATTAATTAGAAAACAGTGTATTGCTTTCTCTTAAAGTACATTGTGATTTGTTTGTGATCTTTTTAGCATAAAAGCAAGACTAGAAAACACCTAATTTTGTTGTCAAGTGATGCAAAAAGTTGTAAAACAGCTTTGGTCAGGCAGTGTAAATCAGCCCATCATCATCATCATCATCATCATCATCATCATCATCATCATCATCATCATCGTCATCATCATCATCATCATCATCATCACTGGTTTAGGATCCAACTATGGAGGATTAATTGCCCCCCAAAATAAAAAACAAACAAACAAATAAATGTAGGTAGAAGTTAAATTATAGCTTCTTTATTTTTTCACCTTTGTAATAATTACCTTATCTATTTCTTGTCCCTTATAATCTTCTACTTTATTTATTTATTTCTTACTTTTTAAGCATTTATTTATGTGTATGATATAATATTCTTATCTGTTTTATTCTTATTTTGTATTTTTTTTAAATAAATACAGAAATACATAAATGCTCAATAAATAAATAAGCATACAATTAATTGCCCCCAAAAATACAATAAACAAATAAATGTAAGTAGAAATTAAATTATAGCTTCTTTATTTATTCGCCTTTGTAATAATTACCTTATCTATTTATTGTCCCTTATAATCTTTAACTTTTTTATTTATTATTTTTTAAAGTATTTATTTATGTGCATATATTTTTGTCTGTTTTATTCTTACTTTGTTTTTTTTTTTAAATAAATACAGAAATAAATACTCAATAAATAAGCATACAATTATTTGCCCCCAAAAATACAATAAACAAATAAATGTAGGTACAAATTAAATTATAGCTTCTTTATTTATTTGTCTTTGTAATAATTCCCTTATCTATTTATTGTACCTTATAACCTTCAACTTTATTTATTTATTACTTACTTTTTAAGCATTTATGTGCATGCTTTAATATTTTTATCTGTTTTATTCTTCCTTTGGATTTTTTTTTTTACCCTCTTTATTTCTTCCATGCTATTTATTTCTGCCTGTCGTACATTTCTGTATGAATTTCTGCCTCACTATACAAACGAGGGGTGTGTCTTAGAGTCAATTTATGACACTTATGACATATGACAGAGTTGGTCCTCCATACAGACCTTTTACTTGATGTTAGAAAATTACCTTCATACAGAACCAGTTGATGTAATTTACTTTCCTGTCTGTGTGTTTTAACAGTTTTTCTTAACCTCATTCTATAACTGGATTCATCTTCCTGCAGAAACAGTGTTAATATCTGATTATCCACTTACTGCAGCCTCCTGTTGTTGGATAACCTTTGTTATATTTCCACACAGAGCGCTTCCTTTCCCTCCTCCCTGATAAAAGACGCACCAATCCTCTGTACCAAAACAAAATGCAGGTTAATTTGGGTGTTTCTTTTACATATTTGAAAATATAACTTGAAAAACAGAACAGGGTCTTACTAAACGATCAGCCCTTCATTGATGCTCGTCGCATCAGTCGGTTTATGAGGCGCAGTCCCGTTTCCCATCCCTCCCCACTCATTGCATGCGATCCCCTGCAGCGTCCCCCATTGTCAAAGCAGTGTAAATATTGTTCCTGGATCTGAAGCAGACAGGACGGTGCTTGGGGCGGTGCGTTTCCAGGTTCAAAAGAAGATGAACCAACCAGAACACTTTGGGTAACAAGGTTATCAGGTTCTTTAGCAGTTTACGTAGAGCATTAGAGATAAAGGGAAAGCCGTTTCTGATGGAAATTCGGAAAGTAGTCCGCGCGCGCCACCTTGTGGCAATCTTTGGTACTACCGCCTGTCTAATAGGTCATATGGTTCAGTATTCTGACTAGTGGAAGGAGGCCATGGAAGCAAATCGTTACCATATTTCAGAAATGCGTTTTAAGTTTAAGAATGTAGCTGCATTGTTTGACCCAATGAAATTAGTAATCATCCCATTTGCATTTTTAAACTGTAGCATCTACTTGTAAACAAGGTGTGTACTTTTGACACCACTGCACAAACTTAGATATTTTGCCCCCTAGTATGCCCTGTGTATCTGAGCATTTATTTCTGCATATTGAACATTGGTTTGTCCTTCAGATAATATTTTCAATCTAAGGATCTAGATACAGAGAAAATTGCAACCTGGTTTGTGACAGATTGTTACAAGTGACACAATCTTAAAACCCTGACCAATACAGACATTTCCCATCTCGTCTAAGGTTTTTAACATGGAAACATTTGGAGGCACAGAATTTTTTTTATTTTAGAGTAAAGTGTTCACAAATGCGATCGGAGCAAAAAAAAAAAAAAAAAAAAGCTGCTCAAGTCACATTCGGTGTAAACATAGCATAAGCCTTTACACTATGGTTCTCCCCTTCATATAACCATGGCCAAGTCATTCTGGCAAAACATATATACACCAAATGCGATGAGTGCTTGCATGATTTTTAATTGAAAATATGGCTTCCAACCATTTTAATCCCCAGAAGACCTGCAAACAATAGAACAAGTTGAGAGTTTTAATACAGTCCACCGAGTTTTCACACCACCAGCCTTAAGGAGTCCCAGGAAAGAGTTTCTGTTGCCCAGGTTCAGGGTTCTGAGGAGAATCTGGGCCATGCTCTTTCAAGTAATGGACTTCCTGAGAGTGTTCCTTCCCTTTTTCATGGTGTTGGCTAAAGGTACTGTAGGTTCCAGGAGGGTACAGGCCATAAATGAGCATGTAATCAAACTCAGGGTAAAGAAACGGATTTTCCCAAAGGCCATGAAAATCTGGTACTGCGTACTGAAAACCCTGAACAGGCCCCACATTGGAAGCCGGGAAACCAAAATGCTCTGTTAGCTGCTCATAGTTTCCAAGCTCCGCTTCCTTTACAGAGTTGGAAGCTTCCCCTGGCTGAGGGATGGGGGCCTGAGGGACGGATGGCCCAACAATGCTTGCATCGTCAGGCTGGATGTGTGTGGTTTCTTCAAAGTTTGGAGGTGGAACAAACCAATTCATCTCTGACAAAAACAAAAAATGCTAAGTTTTAGATCTCCATGTGCCTTAAAGCAACATTAGAGAACCATGATTAAGGAATTTACCTGATGGGGCAGCCTGAGTCTCAGACTGTTCAGGAATGACAGCGTATCTCCTGTCAGCAGGCATAGATAAGCCAGCAGCATATGCAGCAGGTTCAGAACCGCTAGAAATGAATTCTCCCTGACTGGGCAGGTAAGACCCAGTGACAACTTGATCCTGAGGAGGCATAAAATAAACACTGCTAGAGGCTGATCCCTGCTGGGAGCCAAAATGATCTGCAGCTACTGGATCACTGGGTATGCCCTGGTCTTGAGATTTAAAACCTGGAAGAAAAAAAATATACACACACACACACATCAGTCTTTAAAAAACATTTCCTTTCAAGCAAGTCTAATAGCTCACCTTTTACTGGAGCATTATGAACCTCCACACACAGCAAGGCAAAGAGGGATACCCTGAAAGGATTTTCAGACAAAATATTTGGAAAGCCTTTCAATTAAACAGTAATCACATTACAACACAACTTTCTCTGTACCTCAGCAAGACCTGTGCAGTCACCATTTTGAAGAGCTGCAATGAAAACAGAGAAGAAGGGAAGATTTTAAAGACTATGCCAACTCCAATCAGAGCTTACCTACCTAAAGCACAGCTGATGACAATTGTGTCTCATCAAGAGGACCAAAACACTGAAAGGCCCAGGTTCAGAAAGTCGGATAGGTGAGAACTCAGAATAAAAATATGGGGAAAATCCCTGCATACCCAGGATTTTTGCTTTCATAAGGCTGGACAGCCGTTATAATGAGAGAAGTCAATACTGCAAGTTATTTCAGCAATCAAATTTCACATAAGATTAATTTACAAATTCTGGGATAAAAGGTTAAGTCATACCTGACTAAGCCAAAAGAGCACATTCTGGCTTTAATTGTTTTACATAGAACAAGCCATTATATATAGGTGCAGCTATTTCAAGCCAATACGTTTAACAAATAAATATATATATATAATATTTAGATATAGATTAAATATTTATAATTAGCCTTTCCTGCTAAAATCGAAAGAAAATGCGCATAATTCGAAGAAAGTGTGGTTAATAACAGAAATGTGTCATTAAAAACTACTTACGGAGAAATTTCACAGAAATTGTGGTTCAACGACAATTTCTTCCATAAAAGGGCATGCCATTTGACACTTCTTTGTGCAGAAGTTAGCTAAAAAGTAGGAAATACCCAAGGTTAGGCCAACTCCAAACAAGCATCCTACTGTGCAGGAGTTCACCCCAGGAAATTACTTTTAAACTTACTCTGGATTACCACTAACCCTGCTTTGTGAAATTGGCCCATATATGTTGATAGTTTGCATGCCATCATCAAAACACACTTAGAAGCTTATGCCCTGCTGTTAACAGGGTGAAATGCATTATCAATATTTCATTAATGAGAGCTTCTTATATGATTGAGCAGGTGCTAAACTCAAAGTTAAAAGTATAGTTGTGGATTTTCGTGAATTTTTAAACGACTCGCCCTTTCCTCTTTTCCTCAATAAGGAGGACCACTTATTTTGATGATACACCTGGAAAAGGAACATCCTCCACTATACCTTTAATTAGATCCTCAGTTTAGTTACCCGATTGATCACCGATTCTGAAACCGAAACTCTGAGATGGGGGAGAGGGGTAGAGTTACTCTACTACTACAGAGTCTGTAGTAATAGACTACCTCAAATTGGTAAGGAAACTTAAACCACAGCAGAAGTGCTTCAGCTGTTGCCATGATAAGTGCTATTCAAATGCAGGAGGACGGAAGGAGGACGCATTCTTCCAGTTCAGTTAGGGGGCAACTGTGCAGCTCCTAGCAGGGGCTAGGAATGCCAGGAGGTCCCTAACTGAACTGGAAGAAAGCGTCCTCCTTCCTGGTCCTGGCTTCTTACTGGACCTCCTTTGCATGACAGGAAGTGTAGGCACAACCCATTTCACAGAGTATACAAAAATATATAAGTTCTTCACTTCTTTTAAAAATTAGATTTCATGATCAAACCTGATTATTCTTACCAAATACCTTCTTCCCAAATGCTAATTTACGAAAACCAACCCTAGGCATGCTGAAGGCATGCTCTGTTTGGGTTTATACGTGTATACTGTAAATGATGAAACTTAAGAATGCTTATCTTTATCTAAATAATGGTTTATTTTTAGGCTTTACAATTATGTGACATGACAAATACCCTAGTTGGAACATTTATCGATTTGTTTTTACACTAATTTGACCTTGTTACGAATTGTCTGAGATCAAGTTTGGCTTTCCATCAAAAAGAAACTTGTATTTAAAGAATAATTTTTTAATTTATTTTTGGTGGTGCTGAGGTGCTGAAACTCAGAGGTCTGCAAAGACTTATGTATTTTTCTTCTTTGGTACAGTTAGGGTTGTCTGAGTTTAAAGAATAGAAGAAACACATATAGAGTAAAGTTGCTTGTGGAAATAATGTGAAGCATATATTAGAATTTATTAACAATAGAAATGCCACTTATTGCCGTTTCAGTAAATCATTTGAAAGTTTAATGTCATTCATGTGTCCATTTGCTTCAAATTATCTGTTTGATTTGTGAATTTAAGAAAATTATTTTTTAATTGCTTGAAAACTAAAGCTTAAGCAAGGAAAGGTCAGTTACCTTAAGTAACTGACCTTTAGTTAGTGGTTAGTGGTTTGAGATTCTCTAATGCCCCCCCCCCCACCACCCCCCACCCCCCACCCCCCTAAGAGGAGAATGCTTTAGCTTTGAAGTAAATCAGTCAATGTTGAACTTTCTACTGTTCTGACCAACACCACAGTCTTAGTTTACTAAAACATCAAAAACTATATTTCCATATGGCTGTTTTACGAAAGATTAATCTGAAAACCAAGGATAACAGATAAATTCAGGCTTTATCCATTTCCCCCTTCAAGTAGTGTATCAACTAAATGTCTAAACAGCATGAAATATACACCTTTTAACCACTTTTCTTAATGGAAAATACAATATTTTAAAGATTTGCTTGTCTTTTACCCAAATTAGCAACCATTGCTATTAAAAATCTACAGTAGAAGTTAATATTGTAACATGCACATATCGGACAGCTGTCAGATTTGTAAATCTTTGACACTATGGATCTCAGGATCAAATTCCAGCTATATCAAGCCTAGCATCCAGCATAGAAACTTTGTCAAGCTGTAGAAATAATTCATCACTTTTGTTTTGGATAGACCTCCTGTCAATATCTATATAAAACTAAGAACTAGACCAAAAAGTACCTGATAGCATGTATCTGTATCAAATGTTAACTATTGTACAAATTATTGGTACTAATGACTTAGAAGATGACTGCAAAAATATTATATTATATTACTTGTTTTAAGTATTAAATTGCCTCATGTATCTGGCACAAGGAGTGCCCCACCATCCCAAGAAATCCCACCAGAGGAAAAGTTGGACCTTAATTTAAAAAAGCAGACCTATTTTAAAATGGATACAGTGAGGGACAGGTTTTTGAGTCATGAGCTGAGCCAGGCCATGTTGCTCAAGGTGCAGTCTACATCACAGGTCATCTGAAACACTTGGGACATTTAAGTAATTTAATACACATATTAAATATACAGTATGTAATTGAAAATAGGGCTAACCATAAATAATTCTTACATGGATGTTTATAATATTTTTTTTATAACAATGATGTTTCAGCACACCAACAGCATTAGGAATCCTGCTTTAAAAAATCTAAAAAAGTAGTCCCACCTGCTCTAAAATTTCTTTTGATCTATAGCCAAATGAGTGTTACGTGCAATGTTGTAGAATCCTTGCTCGATTTAGTAAATTCCTCTGTTGAAGAAGGTTCCTGAAAATGTATGCGTACCCTTTTAATGACAAATAAACACTTCCGATAGTGAAGCATCTTTTCAGAATCTCCTACTGATACATATCATCTGCGTCATGGTCAGGGCATGGCTCTATTTGGTGCAGTGCTGAACTGGGACTAAGCAGTCTGCTCAGATAGCTGATACCACCACCACCACCAAGCAATAGCATTCATGCAGGTAAATCTCAGGAATAATTCAAATATTGGCACACCCTTGTAAAGCAGGATGCAAATTACTATTAAAGGCCTTTCTGTCAAATTTAGTACAAAAGTGATCTTCCAAAACACAGTCAAACAGTAATTATGTCCACATATTGATTGACTGATTGATTGGCTTTATTGATTTCACAGCGGAGAAATGTTTTAGTTACATCAGCACAAAGAAGAAGAAGAATGTGCCAAAGGAAGAAAAAGGTGCATGGGATATATATAGTAGCCTATATACAGTGCATCCACATATGAAAGCTTTTTTTTAATAGTAGGATCACTATACAGGATCATTGCACAGGGTGTTTACATAAAATTATTAAGCAAATAATTGTATAGGCTACAATAATAATGTTAAAGTAATGTAACTATTTGGCTAAATAACAATATGCATTAGTGTTTTTTTAAAGGTGGCTCATAAAAAAAAAGAAAAACAAAAACAGATAAAAAAAATAAATGAGGACAAACAAAATCGCTGACAAAATTCATTGGGTTTTAAATATGCATCTACTGGCTGAACAGATTAATTACCAGAATAAAGCCAGTATGGCTTTTAGCCTGGTCTGGAGCAGACTAGCCCCACAGAATCAATCACCATGGTAACTGATGTGTTACTGCTTTTTTGAGGTTTAATTAAGTAAGGATATCTAAAATATCCAAGCTTAATCCCTTATCTTGGTTTTGTTAAACAGGCGTCAGGGTAAATACTACTGGTTGGGTAGCCAAGATCTTCAGTTTGCTGATAGTTGTTCCAATGCTCTTTGTCCTTTAAATGATTGGAAGTTTTTCCAGGCTGAAGTTAAAATCCAGGTGGTGGAGCAGGTTAGGCTAAATAGGCTGCTAGATCTGGTTGAGAAGATCTTTGAGAAACTGATCTTGCACATCTGCTCTGACTGGTTTGAATTCCCAACATCAAAGGTTGTATGATCCAGGTGTCTTCTCCTTGGTAAGAAGCAAAGCCATCTCTACTCTTTGTAAAGCTGCTGGTTTGATATTGGGCTTTTGATGTTGAAAGCAGATAGATACAGGCTTACCCTCTTTAGTCATGAATGTTCAAATAATCTTTGATTTGGAGGGGCTTCATAAAAAAAAACCCATGCATTTTGCTGGAGCTCTTGTTTGTTCATATAAAGCAAAGTGGAGAGGAAGAATACAGAAAGAAAACAAAAATGGATTTCCAACAGTGATAAAAACATTTCAGATTAGAGGTAATAGTCCAAGACATAACCGATAAAAACTTGTGTAGCCATCATACTGACATCCAGTACATTTCCTAAAATGTATGGCTAACCAGTGAGAGAGGATGAAATAGTAGAAATATGATCGAACTTTGATGTGTCTGTTAACAACAGCACTCTGTACCGTCTAAAGCTAAGAGACGCTTTCAATGGAAATAATTAGATTAGATAACAACGCAAAAATGATTTTATGCTTAAAGTGGTATTACAGTTTTACAAATATACTGCCATCAGTGGACAAAACACAAAACTGCAGCACTCTTCTGCTCGTTCTTGTAGCTTGCACTTGTACTTGACTTGGAAGGTTTCTTTCTCCTGCTTTTTTCACCTTACCTGGATGTCATTGGTCATGTCTGATAATTCACAAAATCCATCTTCAATCTAATGCTTCAATTGGTTGCTGCTACGTCAGCGAAGGAACATCTGACTGGAAGAAATTCAAGGAAAAAAGGCTAAAGACATATAGATGCCAAAGATGAATCTTCCAAAGGACCTCAGCAGCTGCAGGCTGGTAGGGCTGACTTCACACCTGATGAAGACCCTCAAATGGTTGGTGTTACACCATCTACGCCCCCTGGTGAAGACTTTATTGAATCCACTGCAGTTTGCTTAACCTGGGATTGGAGCTGATGATGGCATTATTTTCCTTCTTCACCAAGCTCTTACTCACCTAGAGAAACCTGGAAGCACTGTGAGGATCATGTTCTTTGATTTCTCCAGTGCTTTCAACACCATCCAGCCAGGTCTCCTAAGGGACTATTAGAGGACAGACAACCTCAATAAGTTATTCATACTAATTTTGCACCTTTTCTACCATAGTCGGTTAAATAGCATGCTGCTGTCATTTTGTTGACATGTTGCTGCTGTTTTCACATACCAATTACTGTAAAAATTTCCTTAGCTGTATATTGGTTATTTATTCTCCAGGTGCACAGTTTTATATTGTTAACACACTTTACTGTACAGTATTTTATTGTTTTACTTTTTACTCTTCACTATTATGTTATTATGTTATACATTTTTTCTAAGGTCCACATTTGTGTGACCATTTTTTCTATAATCTTTTTGCTGCTGTAAACACCAGAATTTCCCCATTGTGGGACAATACATTCTATATAGTCTGCTCTTAAAACTATGTTTTAGTCGTAAAGGGTAAAATAAAAAAGCTATTTCAAAGATATTTTTCAGTAAAAATTTACATAATGTCTTTTTATGTCCAGCCTTCACTTTGACCCCCTAAAAGCAGCAACAGTTGGCCTGATGTAGATACTGGGCCAAGGAACCAACACCTACTGTATTGAGAGCTTGCAAAGATTTGCATCTCAGTCTTCTTCTTGGTAAGTTTTAAAAAGTTAAGAGCCATCTAGACTTTTGTCTTCTAAGCAATTAAATTGAGACCTACAAGAAGTGGATTCCATCTTCTTAAGAAGGACATAAATCTGGATGTCAGGCACATAACAATGAGTGGAGATCCATTATTTTTATAAATGAAGCCAGGAGGGAGGAAGTATGGCTGAAATATGGTCATCAAAAATACAGCTTCTTCAAAAAATACTCTTGCAGTCTTCAACAATACTCCCAATCTATGTTTTGCATTCAGATGGAATAAGTCCAGTATGGTATACATGCAGAAGTGCCATGACTGCCAGAGAGACAGCTGAGTGCTCTCTTTAATGCGGTTAAATTGGGATTAAGGTAATCTTAAGTTAAACTGATCAATTCATGTACTCATTTTCACAAAGTCTGATCCCGACTAATTTCCTTTCAAGAAGGGACTACAGGGAGAAAATCTGAGCTAAAGAGTTTAAAGTTCAAGAGATCCATGAAAAAAACATCTTTACTTATCCTTCCCTGCTCTATACCGACACCTTGGAAATATAAATAAAAGATGAGTTAAAATGAGTAGATGGAAATCCTTAATAAACTAATTTGGACACCCTGTAAACACACAGAGCTGGGAGTATTTAACCAAGAAAGCAGTATCTCCATAGTATATTACAGAGAACCTGTGCATTAAATAGATCTGATAATGTCACTCCTGGATCTATGTGTACATCTGTGGTTTCCACAGCAGAGGCAGCTGTCAGGTCTGTAGAACTGGGCCCATGCCATTAGGGCTCTATTTTAGGAACACGTGTTCAAAAGGTCAGATAAAGAAGCATAGGAATCCTTACAAAGCAGAGGGTGGGGGGTAAAGGCGGATAACCACAAACACAAGAGCACATCTTCTGATACACAGCACTGTTGTTTGAGAGGGTAAGAAGCAGAAACTGAGATGTAGAATTAGTCATTTCCAAACATTTGATCTCATTTGATTTAATTTGATTTAAAAATTCAGACAAAGGTAGAGAACATTGTGTCAGTATAACAGAAAGTCTTTATAGAACCAACAAACTCCCTTCATTTGGACATCATGGATGGAGAATCACCAAACCAAGAGAAAGACGTGACCTCCCAGGCAGAAACCATCACCAACAAGGAGGTTTGTGTCTTTTTTTGTATGTTACTGTTGCTTGTACAGTGAAAGCTTACATTGTTAGAACATACTCTGGCTTTATCGACTCTACCGGGATCGGGCAACTGGTGCGTTTGTAGCCACAGCAGGTGTTGTGGATCGGTGATTCTGGATGTCATGTTACACCTGTTTTTATTCCTTTCTGGAGAATGACTCATACGTTATACAGCGGCGTGATGCACACAGAGCCTGCTCTCTCCTTGGTGTTTCCTATTCTTGATGATGACTCAGTTCAAAGAGAACTGACCTGGTGTCACTTTCATTTCATTCAACTCAGTTTATTTAGCACTTAAGTTACTTTACAAAAAAATTAAAATAAAACTCAATTCAATTAAATCATTCAGACAGACTTTAAGACAAGTAGATCAGTTAAAATAATCCTCGTTATCTAGGTTTGCAGCCATGTTGTTTATTATTCAGGTTAGTTAAAATGTGTTTTTTTTTTATCAAAGAAAAACCGGGAGGTTTAATTGTTTCTTGACTTGCAGCATTCACTCCTCCTAGAGAGATTTGGAGCCCAAAAGGCATAGGCATTTTCTTGTCCTTGTAAGTTTTTCTATTTCTCTTGTCCTCTATTTCTGTCCTTTTAAACATCTTTTTGACCAATTTTCTTGTTGCCTTGATCTCCGTGTTTACTTAACTCATAGTCTTTGTATTTTCTTCTTTTTGTCCATAAAACCCTTTGTGTGAGTATTGGCCTCAGAAAATCTCACAATGAAGAGATCTATATCCAGGGATTTCAAAATCCCAAAGGAATCATATTTCCCTGAAAATCCAATACTTACAGTATTTGCTAATTTTAACAAGCCACCCTAGAGATACCTTCATTTATTTGCCATCACTACCACCAGTATGCTGGGGGCTGTAGCACAGGGCACATCTTCACCTTTGACTTGCAGTGAGAATTCACCAAATCCATTTCAAAACTTAAAAAAGAACATGGCAAAAAAAAAGCTGTACCAATGAGCCTCTTTTAACATTATCTTTTTCAGTTATAATAACAATAAAATATATAAAACAAAAATGCAATTTATGTTCATTTTGCCCTGGTAGTAAGATCTGCACACAACTGGCTTTGTTTCAAAGTTAAACAGTAAAAGGGTAATGGCAATAGTTGATCCTTAAGTGGCTTTATCCTATTGAGAAACACTGCGTAAGATAAGCTATGAGCCAAGTCCAGATGATAAAAGACAGCATATGTGGTAAGTTACAGTATATACTCAAACAATAGTTATGTGTTAGAGGACTAATCGGTCCACTAAAAGACAGGGTCAGGTGTTTTATCAAAATAAGGACATAAAGTTGCTGGCAGCAGTAGCTCAACCTATACTTCCTATCGAGGACAGAGTCACAGCTAAAAACAACGCCCTGACAGTTGCATCTATTATCAAGAAGAAAAAAAAATGGAGAGAAAGAAAATGTCAAAGCTGAAATAACAGAAAATAATGCAGAGTGAGGTAAAGTTGTCATTATGTCCTCCAGCAGCCAAAGGGCAAATGAAGGAGAAACACATGGACTGGTTGTTGGGTGTCATTTTGGTCAGGATATGTTTAATTTGGCTATTATTCTGGTGAAAGAAGGAAATCCTAGAAACTTCCTTAATATGCATTTTAAATCACCTTTTCTTTTGAATTAACACCACAGTTTATCGACTTATTTTCAATTTTCACTATTACTGGATACCAAATTCCTTATTCAGTGATTAGCCAAGCAGTTTCTTTTCCAGAGTCAACCTGTGTCTTGTCTGAATGTAAAAGCTGTCATAAAGTCATGCCTGTAGACTGTCTGGCTGGATTTATATGTTTTTATGAATAAAAATAGCTTATCGTCATTGGCATACCAGTGTAAATCTATTCCATACTGTGTTATGATTTCATTAATTGGATGCATACTTATAGAAAATGAGACTGACCTAAGAACCGAACCCTGTGGAGTTTGACCTGTAACCTCACCTTTTGATGGAAAATGTATCCTTGACAAGAAAAGAAAAAAATTAATCTGTGGGACAAAATGGTGTTTTTTTCCTGGACTCCTCAAGCGTGTTCAAGCCTATCTAAGAAAATACTGTGATCAGCTGTATCAAAAGCAGAGGTGTCAGGTAACAAAGTATGAATACTTTGTTAGGTATACAAGATGATGGCTCTCTATACTTTATTGGAGTCATTATTTTTTAAAGAACCTTTTACTTCTACTCCTTATTTTTTTTTTTTTTTTTGCAATTAACTCTACTTTCCACTACTTACATTCTAAAAATAGACTTGTTAATTTTGTTTAATTTAAGTTCGTTTTCATTATAGCTGGTTGGTATAAATAATTAAGAACCCTCAAAAAATTGATTTCATCCAGATAGTGAATTTTTCTGTGGTTGGACTCGGTACTACACCAACTTGTTGTTCGCCACCTATCAAAAAAAATGTTTTTAAGGATGATGCAAAGTTAAATTTGACATTGTTGCCATTAGTTATAAAACTAAAAAAATTAAGTATACAGAAGTTATCATCCAGAAAATATTGAAAAATGTTCCCTTAATAGGGTAATGAAGTAACCAGTATGAGCTTTAAAGCTTTAAAGCTTCTGTCCTTAGCATTTTTCCTAATTTAATTTTACTTTTATACTTTAGTTAAGTAAAAAGCTTAAGGTGACGCACTAACTTCTACAAGAGTGTTTTTTAACAGTGGGATTTATACTTCTATTTGAGTAATAAATATTAATAGTTTTCACACCTCTGATCAAGTCTATTACCTCAGGCCATGAAAACACAATTTGTAACTTTCTCCAGAACTGTTTCAGTGCTTCTTGATATAGGTTTACAATTTTGAATTGCACCCTGATCAGAAAATTATGTTGTTGTTTTTTTTTCAAGTTAAAGTTTATTTACAGTTACCTTAAAAGCCTGCAGTATGTATCATTGCACTAGTGATATATTAATCATTTCTACATTTCTCTGCAGTAAAAAGGATCATTTCACATTAGGGGTGCTTGAATAATCTTAATTTCACAGATGTCTTCTATCTATCTATGCAGATAGACACAGATATACATACTTGCACACATATATCTTAACTTGTACTTTTGCATCTTTTTTGTTCATTAAAGTTATTTGCTGTATGACCTAGAAAAGTCAAAACTTTAAACATATTTTAGATAAGTATTCAAAATCCCCAAATTAATGCCATTCTCTCTGACACTTCATATTATTGTTTTTATTCTAATCCAGGCAAATGAGTCACAACAAGATGGATGTGAGGGCACTAATGACACACCAGAACCTCAAGGGGTAACTGAGGTGGAAGAGAGTGACGAGCCAGAAAAAGCACAAGATAAAGCCAATGCTGAAGATACAAACAAGATGCAAAGCTTCTCTCAGCCTGCTGAAGAGGCTGGACAAGATAAAAACACACCGGCTGCTGATGATGTGAAAGACACTGATACGGTAAAAGAGAAACAAGATGGGAAAGAAGATGTGGAAGATGGAGACAAGGAAGAAGAACCAGTGAAAAAGATGCAAAATCAAGAAAATGAGAATGTCAAAGAGGAGATCAAAGACAAGGAGGAGGGTGAAATAAAGGGAGAGAGTCTAGAAGATGCTAAAAACAATATATCTAAAGAGACTGAGCCAGAAAAAGAGATGACTGATAAAGGAAAGGTAAATGAGACTGAAAAACAAACAAAACCTAAAAGAAAGGGCGGGGCTCCCTCTTCTATCTCTCGACCAAGATCCTCTGCACGCTCTATTAGAGCATCCAATAGAAATGATATTATTGCAAAGTTCCAAAAAGGTGCACCAGAGTGAGTAACAACCATGGGATACTTAAACTTTAGCATTTAAATATGATTTAACAAATTTTAAAGGAAGCTGTATTTTGTTATTGATCTTTGGGGGGTTTTTTTGTAGGACACCGATAGCTCGCAACTTCAAAATTCAGAAGTCCTCTAGTGCTGGGGCAACAGGAGCTTCAATCAAACAGAAGATTCTTCAATGGTGCCGCAACAAGACACGCAAATATGAGGCAATCTCATCATGTTAAACCCAAACTGTTTAACACCAAACAAATGTGGAGCAGAAGAAATGACCTGTACTGTTCTTTGGTTCCTATAGGGTATAAATATTGAAAACTTCTCCTCATCCTGGAGTGATGGGCTTGCATTCTGCGCTCTAATCCATCGCTTCTTTCCTGATGCTTTTGACTACAGTTCTCTAAAACCAGAGGAGAGGGAGAAAAACTTCACGCTGGCCTTCCAAACAGCAGAGTAAAAAACTTTTTATGAGATTAAGTATATCAAAATTCAAGTTTAACTTGTTTTTAAAACAAATGTTATTATTATAAAGACACTTCCATGACCTTTGTGTCTGACTGTTGCTGTCATTCTCCAGGTCCCTAGCTGACTGCTGCCCTTTGCTGGACGTGCCAGATATGATCATGATGGGCAACCACCCAGATCCCATGTGTGTGTTCACATACGTGCAGTCCCTCTGCCACAGCCTCTCCAAAATAGAGAAAGAGAGGAAGGACAAGGAGAAGGAGAAGGCTGACAATGAGAAAGAGGAAAAAGAGGAAGGTAATGATGAAACGGGAGAGGAACCACGCGCTGACTGTGAGAAGATGGAAGAGAAGAAAGAAGAAGATGACAAAGAGTCAAACAGAAAGGAAGAAGAGGAAGACTGTCCAAAGATGAGTCAAGATGAAGATATTGAGGGAGTTTCCGTTGAGATAGAAACCTAGAAAAAATGTGAGAGATAAGATAAATGACCGAGAATATCTCACATTTCTGCTGACAGTAATTTAGTTTTGGGTTGCATAAGTTGGCTGTCTCAACTCAGACACTTTTTTTTTATTGTTCTAAATATATGGAGGTTTGTTTGGGGGTTGGGGTGTCACTGTTCTGTATCTATTAAGTTTTTGTTTTGAGCACACTTCCAAAAATATATAAATCTGTGTAAATAAAATATTATATGAGGGATTAAGTGTTTGTATTTCAAAGATCTATTATATTCATTTTAAAACTCATCTTTCACTTTAACATGCATATAGAGAAACATTAAATACTGTTCACATGGCACTTCCAGCAACAGTTTTTGGCATCGGCAGGGGCGGATCCAGGATTTTTCAAAGGGGGGTGCGCACCTAGGGGTCATGGGGTCACGGGGTCAAGGGTCACAGGTCAAGACAATGTGAGGCTAAAAGACCAAAGAATACCATCTTCACTCTTTCACACTACCCTAATTATTCATCCAAGGGTTTTTAATTGATAATTTTAATGGATGAACATAAGTAGAATTAGCATGATTACATTACATTTTTTAAGCATGCGCAAGGTTAAAAGGTAGTTTGAAGAAAAAAATGATCCTCATCAACAATTAAACAAGGAGTTTCTTTATTTCCAGAAATTATATTTACACAGAACATGAAATAAAAAAACCCCAAGGACTTGGGTTCAAGTAAGACAAAGGAGTTTTGAATATATTTTAACAAGATAAACTGTTGAAAAGCAAAAAAAACAAAGTTAAACCAGACAAAGAATATTGTTCTCTACTACAAACTTTATGATGATGATAATGGGTTTACAAATGTCAACTTTCTGGGCAAATATGTCTATGATTTTGTTGATGTCTAGCTGAATGTCCTTGTGCATATACAAAAAGCCACAAACCTTTCCTGTCCCATTGTTGAACTCAGCAAAGTTTTCACTGCTTTAAGACCCGAGTTAGCACTTTCCACAGAAGCACTGGTAACAGGAATGACTGACAGAAGGTAAAGAATCATATAAATCTTGGGTAGCACTTCATATGTGTTATCTTTAGAATTTCAGGGAGAGAGCTGGGTTTTTCCACTGATGATGACCACTTTGTGTGCCACAACTTCACTTCCTGCCTATATGTTGATCCTGACGGTAGATCATCTTTATATGATGTAAAAATGATAAAAAGTCATACTTGTCCAGCCAGTCCCTCTGGCATGTTCTTTTGGTCACCCCACTGGCTCTTCGGTTGTCTTTAAATTCTCTGGCAGGGAAATTGAAAGATTTGGGTTTTCTAGTCTGAAGAAGTTGGAATTTTCCAGAGTCGTCCATTTCACTAATCTGGTCCTTGGCCTTTGATATATCTGTAATAAGATTGATTTTTACATTGTCGATTTTGTATGGGTGCTGGTGGAGTTGTAAATCTGCCTACATGAAGCTTTTGTATAGTCTTGCTTTATTATGAAATAAGTATTATGAAATGTAAGATTTCAAGATTAAGCAAAAAAGTCAATCGTGTAAAACAAAAACAAAATTAGTTGTTTTGACATTGAAAAAAATACAACTATTACTAACCTATGTCGTAATTTGTTTGGGGCAAATCCGCTTGGTTGATCGCCGGCTCTTCCGTTGTCTTTACATCGAAGCACAGTCCTTGTTGTTCATCTGGAAAAGAAAATAATTGTTGTGATCAGGTGAACCTTGTAATCTCAGGAGTAGCCACAAAACAATTTAATGTTTTTATCATAAATTATTAAATTCACTAAACACATATCACCAGGTGCACAAAACTGAATATACTTAAAAGTAAATTGTATTTTTATTGTAAAATATTAAATGCACTGAAAACAAATAACACCAGATTTGTAGTTATCATATCACAATGTTAACAAGACTCCCTTAGACTCCAAGCATGTGCTTAGAGCATTCATTGATTTGGATCCTTACCAATTGATAAGTCAGTAATGTTTGCATAAAGAATACCATTCTTATTTTTAACACTACAACACATGTGGTACAGGTTTAGACCCAAAAATACACACTACAAAATAACTATTGTATGCATGTCAATGGCAACTAATGTTGCTTATTTTTGTTAATTGTACACTCTTTTTATTAGTTATCAAACACTGCAATTTTCATAACTTCCCCGTTACTGGTTAAAGTATTCCTACAATTGCATTATTTTGCAACTTTAAACAACTTGTTTATCAACAATCAACAATGTTGATAATGTTTTCTCATTATCAACATTTTCTAGCAATCATCATACCTTTTATCTGTGTCTCCAATATCTGAAGGTTCATAATGGTCAACGCTGTGGTCATTTTCTGTAGTTGTGCCAGGTCCACTGAAGAATAGAAAAGATATAAACATTTCAATCTGTGTTATTTAAATTATAGACATAAGCCTATAGAAAATAAAGTGATAAAGTTGGTTTCTACCTACCCTTCTGTTGGATTGGACCAGAATCTTAAAAGAGATGGTTGTCTGGTTTTCTTGTTTGGCCTTAAATCTTCCAGGTCTCCTCGTGCTCGCAACGACGCTATTGCAGTATGGCAAGCCTATTGGGCCAATAATCGTCCGTACAATAACGCGCAGTTCCAACCCGTATTTTACGCGAGCGAGCGTTTTTACGTCACCGCATGTTCTGGCTGGAAACGCGCGGTGACGTAAAAACGCGCGCTCGCGTAAAATACAGGTTGGAACTGCGCGTTATTGTACGGACGATTATTTGCCCAAATGGTTTGCCATATCCCAAAGGGGGGTGCGCGCGCCCCCCGCGCCCCCGCCTGAATCCGCGCCTGATCGGCAATATAAGTCTCTGTCCAGAGCGGCACAGAATAGGATCTGCCATCAGAACAATGGAAATATTTTCAGTTGTCTGTTTTTTCTTTTAATGGTGATGATGAAAAGAAGGATTTAATTTTGTGATTGCTTTAGTTGTTATGCTTTTCCATGAACAATACAGATTATCATCATTTCCCAATTACTGTGTTTGCAATTGTCAGGACTGGGGTTTGAGGACCCAAATGCAGAGGCAGGGAGGCAGAGGTGAGTTTCTTGAAGTTTTAATGAACAGTTAACAGACTACAGAGGCAGGAATCCAAAAAACCAAAAAGTCAAATGTGAAAAAAAGTCAAACAAAGCAGAAACCATGGAGACATCAGAGGAAAAACAATTACGACGAGAAAGACTCAGAGAGACAGAGTTGGAGAAAGTTAGATGAGGAACCAGCACTGAAGAACTGCACAGAGAGAGTATTTATAGGAGACTGAAACAAAGAGAGGGCTAATGAGCAGATTGGGAACAGGTGTGAACAGAGCAGAACAGGAAAGGAGCTAGGGAAAAAAGAGAACACAAGAGGGCAGCAGAGGGCAACAAATAAAAACCTGAAAATAACCAGAAAACACAACAAAATAAGAAATAAAACACTAAAACTAGAAAACATGGAGCAAAGTAAAACTGAATACTCAAAAGAAAACATAACAAAACCAAGACTGTGACAGCAATTACACTTCTTTTATTAAGAAAGATAATTATAAAGGTAAATTATAGTTAATAATTTATCATTGTAATCTAAATTCATCCACAACAAGAATAAATTTATATAACTTTGATTAATAGCTACCAGCCTTCAATGGTTATAACAATTAGATACTAATAATTAGATACTAATTATTAACCAGTTAGGGTGGGTATTAAAACTAGCAATGGGCCTTTGTTGAATCAACCACTAGTAAATAGAAACATTTTTAGTATACAACTACAATTGATAGCTTTACATCTTTAACTAAACCCCTATAAAATGTCTCTATATATTAATTTATTTTTTTTCAGCACTGGCCCCTAGTAGAGACAACAGTTAATTGATATAAACTAAGCACAGACAACTACACTTTATATAGACCATTTTTCTGTTCAATAATACTACCACAACGCACACAACTACCCAGAGAAGGAACGCAAAACAAAGGGAAAGCAGCAAAAATTATAAATCTTGATACCAGCAAGACCAGCAATTTAAACAGTTATTTAAGCTTTGACAGCAAACCAGCAAATATGCAATAAACAGAGCCCTAAAGCGATTTAAGAGATTGCAAAATTATTGGAACCCTGTATCAGGAACGACAAAGGTAATATGCTATCATCCATCCATCCATCCATCCATCCATCCATCCATCCATCCATCCATCCATCCATCCATCCATCATATCCTGCTAATCCATCAGGGTCACAGTGGGGCTGGTGCCTATCTCCAGCAGCTTATAGGTGGGGTACACCCTGGTGAGGTCACCAGTCTGTCACAGTATAGCATTTACTGTCACAGTTTCAGCATTTAAGTTTAGTTCTAATTAACTCCCTGTCCAGGTCATTTTGAAGTAGCAGAAAAAAAAGACATGTTTTACTTATTGATGTCTTCTCTGGAAGCAAGCTAGGTGGTCCTCGCTGTAGCTTTGCAAGCAACTTCAGTGACAAGAGGAGGAGAGCAGGCTGCTGCAGCTCTCTTTGGGAAGCAGGCAGTGTGGTCATTGGTTCTTGGCCATGGCTCAGCTCGGTTTGGTTTGCACCAGGAAGAGGCAAACTGTAGGTTCCTTGCTGCTGTTGCAGCTGTACGCTCCTTGCTGCTTTGATTCAGAGGAACTGGTAAAACCACAAGATACCTTTCAGATCAGCCATCTTTAGATGATCAGTCATCTAAAGATAACTGATCTGCAAATCTCTGCTAATCCTCGGATTTTCTCTGTTGTGGTAAAAACGGAGGCAGTGGTGTCTCGGAAGAATTTTGATGATAGGCAATCAGAGAGCTCTTTGCAGCATCTTTCCACTTTCTCATTATTATCTGTTTACCAATCATGATGCTTTTCTGGACCCAGTTAGCAAAGGGTTTTGCCACGTGGTTAAAATATTTAAGATTTCCTAGTATATAGAGTTAAGGGCAGAGTTTGTAGTCCATCCCAACTATCACTGAATTATATTGGTCCAGAAAGCCTGTTCATTGGGCATGACCACAGTGCATGAATTAAGTCCACTACCAGCCCGTTCATTCTCATAGTACATTTTAAAAAATCTGAAAAGCCCAAATCTGAAATGAATTGAGGATTCCCTCCTGAATTTTGTGACCAAAATAAATTAGCTGATTCAGGTTGCACTTGGCAGAAATAACATGTAACGTCTCTAAATTGTACGGAAGAGGATTAGGGCCACTAAAAAAAAAGAGA